AAATAAGTTTAAAATCATTAATATTTTTATCTTTTAATTTCCATATATATTTTGACAGCATGGTGTCTTTTGAATAATTTTTATTTTTTAAAAGATTGGTTATGATTGGCAAAACGTTTTTTCCAATCGTCCTCTGTTTATGCTAATATATTGTTTATCAGGTACATTCTTAAAGGAAACAACAAATTTATATCAAATTTTTTGATAAACAACTTCCACTCATTGGGCAATTGTTTTTTTTTTGTTAACAATTTCAATTTTCTGTAGTTTTTTTATATAGGATTTCTTTTTTATTTAACAAAGCATTATTGTGACCTTTTATAATTCTTTCCATTTTTTTGTTGACCCTCCCCCCCCCCCTCTCTAAACAAAATCATTTATCTTGCACTTGGTAACTAATAAATGGAATGATGCAGTATTATTATTAGAACATTTAAGGCTGATCTAGTCTGACAACTGTTATCTAAGTTATCATTAGTTGATCAGAGAGGTTCTATTTTAATGAAAACTAAACTTGACCAGTTAGTAGAAAAACTTAAATTTGTTGTTGAGGTTGATGTTACATCAGCAATTGATAGTTATATATTTTATATTTAATGTACTTTGAGCCCATAAATGCTGCAACATCTTCGGTTTCCTTCTTTAGGTTTTGGTATCATACACCTGTAAGGTTACTCTGTAAAAAAATAAAATCATAACAATTGTTATACTAAAAATTATATTATAAGTTTCTAATTAAAAACTATACTATAGTATATATAGATAACAAATTATTACTTGTTTTTTCTACCTTTATAGCATTACGCATTTTTAAAAAAAGAAATAAGAACGAAAAATAATGAAAAAAATACTGCTTCCCAGAACTAAAACCACAGTTGATGTGCAGTACTCTGTCGCGGCAGCAGGCTATAAGATATTCAAAGCCCCCACTAGCAAGCTATTAAATGTGAAAAGTGTATGTATGTATGTATGTATGTATGTATGTATGTATGTATGTATGTATGTATGTATGTATGTATGTATGTATGTATGTATGTATGTATGTATGTATGTATGTATGTATGTATGTATGTATGTATGTATGTATGTATGTCACAGCTAGTACACATACGTTGATAAAACATTAGAATAATATTGCGCATTGCGTTGGCTTAACTTCAAGCGCCAACATTGTTTTTATATCATTTTAGTTACAAATGCAATGTTGCTAACAATCAAAAACAAAGTTGTAATTTAAATTGGCATTGCGTAATGTTTTTCACTGATTCAAAGTTGTACTTTATATTGGCGAAACGTTTAGTTTTAAGTTGATTCAACAATATAGTTTACGTTTGCGTAACAATGTTACTTTTAACTTTTATTGGATTAAATTTATTTGCTTTTTATCCTAATATATATATATATATATATATATATATATATATATATATATATATATATATATATATATATATATATATATATTAGGATAAAAAGCAAATAAATTTATGCAAATATGAGACACTCCTTTAAATTTAATTGTAAAATAAAACTTACTATTTGTTGTTTCCAATAACAAACAATCAACCGCTGTTTTAAAATATTTAGTGACCTATAAATATAATGACAATAGTAAAGTAAATCATACAGACTACCAACATTGGAAAAACAACAACTGCAGTTTCTTCCATAAGTAACTTTTGAACATTAAGAGTTATACCCATATTTTTGCAAAGATATTCATACACTTAATACATTTATAGATTTACAAAACAATATAAAGTTAATGATATAATAAGTTTTTATTGGATTTCTATTGGATTTGACTTTTTATTGGATTCTATTGGATTTTTGACTTTTTATTGGATTTTATTGGATTCTATTTGAGTTTTTATTGGATTCTATTGGATTTTTGACTTTTTATTGGATTTTATTGGATTCTATTTGAGTTTTTATTGGATTCTATTGGAGTTGACTATACTATAAGGAAAGCTTTATAATGACTATGATGTTACAGAGATAAACAAAAAAAAAATCTCTATAAACTTGGTTACAAATAGTACAACTGATTGTAGCTTACATCATCTAAAACGTTTATGACCAGCTTTTTGTTGTACTTAGACTCTACATTTGCATAAAGTTCTTTTTAATTTTATTTAAATGATAATTGCAGGTTTAACTCGAAGAAGAGGTAGCAAATTAAAGAAAGAGAATCCTGCCTGTTAATTAATATTTGTTTTTTCAGCAAATTTGAAGCTATTTTGAATAATAGAACTAATATCATTGGGGCAACAGTTGTTTTTTTGATAACTCTTCGTTTTCTTTTTTTTTCTAAAGAAATGTAGATAGGTAGAAAGATTATTTTAAATACATCAAGAAATACAGTTTCTCTCAATACTACTAATTTTATTAGTATTGAGTTTTTATGTAGATTATAGATACAAGCATCATCAGTTTGTTAAATATTACTAAATGTTAGTATTATTCTTTAATATGCAGATGATGCAGGTATCTATAACCCATCGAAAAAGTTTAATAATTTTAAGGATAAATGATATTAATAATTTTATTATTTTAGAAATTTTAGAAATTAATACATACTTTTTAAAATAAAATATAACACTCTTACACAAGATTTTATCTTTCATATATATATATATATATATATATATATATAAATATATATATATATATATATATATATATATATATATATATATATATATATATATATATATATATATATATATATATATATATATATATACATATATATATATATAAATATATATATATATATATATATATATATATATATATATATATATATATATATATATATATTTATATATATAGCACACTCTGTCAAACTCATGATCAACTCATGATCAACTTCATCTACATGATTAAAAACAATTCTTTCTATGGAAGCATAAAACAGATCTTATGAGTATAAAATAATAAATATTTAAATATTCACAAATATTTTTGTTCCCATTGCACCTACTAGATTTGGGGTCTAATGATGGGGAAAATCTATGTTGGTCATTAACAAAGGCTACTTTAAATTAGTCTTAATGACTATTTGTGGCTGTTCGTATGCTAAGCCAACAATATCTTTGAATATAAGAAAATTGTAAAGAAAAATATAGTATGAAAATTCAAATAAATAAGTAAAGTATATTTGTTTATCTCTAATTATAGAAATTTAAAAAAATATTCTTAATTGGTACTAGAATTAATATACAATGTTTAGCGTTTAAATACTCGAAACCACGAAAATAAAAAAACGTTTTGTTGAATGTATGATAAATGTCTGTAAAATAAAAAAATTCTTCAACATACTTCATGAATTCATGTTTAAAATTGTCATAAGTAAAAATGTAAGCTTTTGCGTTCAGTAATTAGATAAAGACTATTTGAATTAATCAAACTTTTAAAAAAGTCACGCCCTATGAAACTTAAAAATATGACTATAATACAGAAAAAAAACTTTTTTACACTTTCTAAAATATTTTTTTGGTAATATATCGTATTCACCATGTTGTTGATTGAGTTAAGGTGTGGCGTTTATTAAATGTTGACACTTGCAATTGGCATTTTCTAAGACATTTGAAAGTTTAATACCCTCTCAATTAGGGAGGAAGCTGTTTAACCTGCAAATATTTGGCTCAGATAAAATTAAATTCTTTTAAAAACACCTTTAAATGCATTTATTAGAATTATATAATGCTTTCATAGAAGGATATTTTTCTTCCTTTTAGGTGAGGTTAATCATGAATATTACAGGGAAAGATAAGTTAAATGCATTAACTTTTATTTTGAAAAACCAAAATTAAAAAAAAAAAAATTAATTTTTTTTCTTTAAGTTGAAGCTGCAGACCCTGTTGAGCAGATATTGATTAAAGGTAGCTTGAATACATTACTACCCGTGCTAGAAAAAACCTATTCAGTTTCTTTTAAAATAAAAGCTAATTCATATTCAGAAGGATGGAAAAGTGTTATTCATTTAACAATTGGAGACAATGCCGATCAATATGGTGATAGATGTCCAGCTGTATGGTTTCATATTGATGGCTCAGGGAGATTATACATTTCTGCAGCTGTCAATGGAAACAAAAATTATGCTTTTACAACCCAGCCTTTACCGCTAAACCAGTGGTCAAGTTTACAAATATCACAGTATAAAACAAATGGAGTTTTTATGTATACAGTGTATTTGAATGAGTTACTTGTTCATAGCGTTGTAAACAATAAGCCACAAACTTTTTCAAATGTTAAAGTTTATACTGCAGATCCATGGTATTATGCGCAAAATGGCTCCATTAAAGATCTTAAAATTACAGGTGGAAGAAGTGGTGAGTAATTTTTATTTTAAAAAAAAAAGTTAAAAAAAATACTTTTTAACTATTACTATCATGTCTTTGCATTAAATAAAACTCCGCCACAAGCGTATTAACTAACTGAATAAGCATATACATAAGCATTACATAAGCATATCAAGATCACAAGTTATAGTTAAATAGGATCAAAAACTATTCCTCAAAGTAGTTCATTAAAGACTAATTATCCTGATCAAAATTCTTTTCAGAAGTGCCTATACTCTTTGCGTCTATTCCTATAAAAGTCAACGGATGAATATGCACTCTGCTATATTTAGAGATAAAATGTAAGTGTAACCCATCAAAAATCAGTCGATATATGCACAAATAAAAAAAATTAAAAGCCATATGAAAACAATTTCTCAAAGCTATATTCTTTTAGTTTAAGGTAAGATGGTGATTATTAGTACTTAATATTTTTTCAATACTTTTTCAAACTTTGAACATATAACCAAGAGGCTTGAAGTTCAATTCCACCCTTCACCCTGTATCTTTAGAAATGTAAGTCTGGAAGTGGAAGTGTCACCGCCTTTGACCTTTTTCTCCACACCTTGTTTAAAAAGGTTTGTGTTTTGGACTTTAGATAAAATAAAAGATAATATATAATTAATAATAATAGCAATTTATATAAAGAAAAAAAAGAAAAAAAAACTATTATAATCAATTAAAGCACTTTTTTTTTTTTTTAAATATAGGTTTTTTAGAATTTGCAATCAAAAGTTCTAAATTTAATTAATGTTCAAAAGTGAATTTTTTGATATAAGGGGTTTTTAAGCTTTAAAATTTTGTACTTTTTTTATTTTAAATATTAAATTTCAACATGCATGAACTAGTTATTTTGTTACTTTTGTTATTGTAACTATTGGCTGTGTTAAAGTTACTGTTTGTATTGTAATATTATTTTTAAATGTATTATTTAAAATGATATAAAAGGCATACTTTAAATAAAATCTTAAAATTAAATTATATTTAAAAGTTGAAAGAAAATTATTTTTTTGAGTATAAAACTTTTTTTCAAAAGAAATCTGGATTCCAATGATGACTCGTTTTTCCAATTGGGAATCAAATTTTTGGAATAGAAGTTACGAGTCTTATGAAAATGGTTTTGGTTTAATTAATCAGCTATGGATTGGTTTAAAAAAACTCAATCAAATAACAAGTACATTTTTCACAGATATGAGAGTTGACTATTTTTTCGAAGACAATATTACATTTAGTACAATGTATTATAATGTTAGTATCGGTTCGAGTAAAGATAGCTACGTATTAGGCTACGAAAGCTACGACCCAAAAGACTGTAAGCCTAAATCATACTTTTTGTTTCTTATGTATCTATTTTTTATTTATTTTTTTCTTATGTTAATTTTTTATTACGATCATCTATTATTGTTTATTATTTTAGTAGATTTATCATGTAGTATGAAACCTTCACTGTGTTAAAAAAATCTGTTTTTTGCAGTAGTTTTGTTTGTATATTACTGAGAATGCATATCTTTTAAATAATTCTCAAATGAAAATAAGATGCAAATTAATTACAACTTTTCCATTGTTATTTCACATTCATTCTTTTATTTTTCAACTCCATGTTGAAGATTTTTTTAAACTATAACTGCAGATTGTAAATGTATAAGAGTAAAAATAAAGTTTTACAAAGGGAGTTGGTATTCTTGCATGACCAAAGAGCTATACGTAAAATGCACATTGATAGAGTAGACGTTAAAGTTACCGGAAAAGTTAGAGAATTGAATAAAAGAAAGCTAGCTTTAAATAATAGAGAAACTGCTGGAAAACATAGAAAAGCTGATATAACAGAAGCAAGCAGTTTAGACAAATGCGTTTAATTATCGTGTGGTAATGAAACAGAGAATGACAATCAATACGACAACAAATTAAGAGATGATGCAAGTTTGAAAAGGTTTAGTGAGGCAGTCAAATCAGAATCAGACAGTTCAAGTTCAGAAACTAGTAAACAAATAAAGTTTTTTTAGAAAATTTTTAGCAAGAGAGGCTGACAGGTATGATGTCTCAAATCGAGGTGCGGCCTTTCTTGCCACAGCAAGTGTGAAAATTTGGCAGTTGTAACTCACAGAAGTGTGAAAGGTTGGCAGTTGTAAAGAAACAATAAATTATAGATTTAATCCCTCTGCTCTAATGGACCCAATCATATGTTTCTGGCCTAACAGTTGTTAAAACATTTACCTCCATTGGTTATTAATATTGTTAAACCTTACATTAAAAGAAATACCTACTTTGGTCAGCCTGAAAGCGTTCTTTTATCGATGATGACTGACCTCGAAAAAATCAAGTGTGTTTAAGCTATATTGTTCACAAATTAAGAATACAATACTTAAAAGTATCTCTTACAATACTTAAAAGTAAATCTCTTAACATTAGACAATATCAAGTACCAGAAATCAACCTAAATGTTAAAATAACTACGACAATATAATTAAATGGGATGTTGTTAAAATCATAGAACCACCATATATACCTTAATCCTATTAACAAAACATATTAAATCAATTGTTGATGTACCTCTTGTTTATTAATGCTTATCCAAACTCCACACAAATTTTGGAACGCTGTGTTTAAACTTGTAACAGGTTCTGTTTAATCAGTGTATGTTTCAGAAGGAAGAGATGGGTTTAAACAGGCAAGTATTGTGTCGAGAACAAAGACTAAATCGTTTCGTAAAATGAAACATTCTGTAATTATTTAAACAAAGTCAATATATTTTTATTGCTTAGGTTTTTTTTATATAGCTATAAATATTGAGTTATAATCCACTTACTTGTAAAATGTTTGATTGAAAAAATGGGCCACTTATAATTTAATATTAGTGCCTCAATAATGATATGCATTATTGACACAATGTAGTAATAAAAGAAACTGAGAAAACGAGTTTTTTAGTTTATCAACAAGTCAAAATGTGTAAATCTATATATTGCAACTAGAATATTTTCCAATCTTTTAGCAACCATATCTAATTTGATTTAAAAACACATGAAGTATCCAGGTAACACAAAACGTTCAAGAACGTTGACAAACGTTGTTAATGTTTGATTATGTTTTAAGAACGTTCATAGAACGTTCTTGAACGTTCGCAACATTTGTTGAACGTTTTTTGTTAGCTGGGTAGATCTACCAGAACGGGTAAAGCACGAATAATATCTTCCACCGAAAGAACTTTTATTTAAAAAGTTGTTTAATTTCCTCCATTAATATAAAAAACCTTTATTAAAATCAGAAATGAATAAACATGATCCATGTTTGAACAAGTATTGTATATTTAGGATGACATTATCAATTTAACTAAACAAATACCTAATATTTTAAAATGATTTCATAAATTGAAAAAAAAAGTCGGCAAATATTTTATTATAAATAGTTTTATTTTACCAATAACTAGACCGAATCAATAACAAAAATAAAAAACTATAATAATATTTCCAGGTTAATATTTTCATGTTTTGTTGTAACAAAATTTTCTTCATAATACTTTCTAAAGCCAGTTGAAAATAACAGTAAATGAGAACCAAAAAAATTATCTATTACAACAGCTGTATATTTAGATGTTTTACATTCATTATAGCCAACAATATAACCATCATAGTGTATGATAACAAAATTTTCAACTACTAGCGTGCATTCATTTTCACAGACAAGTAGATATACAATCTTTCTACGGCGTGGAAGAAAAGATTTGTTTAGCCCTAAAACTACAATAAAACCTTGCATATATCTTGCGCCATTATAAGTTATATAGTTTGCACAAAAACACTCTTCGTTTAGTGGAATTTTACTAAAAACAGTTATTGGCAACGATAAGCAAGCAGGCATAGTTTTAAGACTAAAACCAACTTTTACATTAAGTATACTACCAAAATTTGAAAAAATCAAGATGCAGTTATATTTGCTGAAGCAATGCAATACGTTTGCGAATAATTTTAGTTGTGAAAAATGTGACGTTGCTCATTTGCAGGAGTATGTTTTCCTTCAAATCGCATACACCAATAACTTGGTAAATACGCAGCTGTAACATTTTTGTAAGATAACGAAAAGAGAAATGTCGTTTTAGAACAACAGTATGTCCAGAAGATACATCTATAAACAACTTGTGATGAACGCTAATCACCTCTGCTATATAAGTTATTATACGAATAGTAAATTTTGAAGCCAAGAATATTCCACGTATTTCCAATAGTAAATGAATTAAATGAAAATACTGGATATTAGTCTCTAAAACATTACTAAGAAACAGACAAATAAAAATCTCCTAAACACGGACTTAGTGTTTTATTTATACTTAATTTTTGTCTTTAGAATCAAGTTTTTCACGTGTTAATGGCAATGGCGTATTTTACTTACCAATGTTAAAAGTTTGCAGTCAGCCATTAAATCCCATAATGGTCAACAGGCAATTAATAAGTAATAAACGATAAAAAACTACTGTTAATTCATACTGTAAACAACCCTCAAGTATTGATTTTTAGGAAAATATTTTTAGAAACAGAAAAGTACTGAAACTTTGACAAGGGATTTTGTTTATATACACCGGACAATTTAATATCAGCATCACCAAAAAGCACTTGACAATCTGCAATGAGACGTTCTTTAGTTCTTAAGTCTAGATCTTTTTGATAAAAAGCGTGTTGTATTTGTTCTTTTTTTGTAAAGCAGTATTGGCAGCTCTTGCTAACATTAAAATTTGAACTAAATACAAAAATTTAGTGCAATGCAAGATTGTCTCCTGAGCGTATAACTTTTGTACCAAATATGCAAATGTAACTTTTTTTATATACAATTTAACTCCTTTTTTTTTGAGCTATCAATTCCTTTATTAATGGTTTTAAAGCTTTTCATATCTATACTTTTCAACATCAGCTGAAAAACAATAAATTAAAGATTACATTTTGGTCAATAAAGAGCATCACTTTATGTTAACATTTTTGATGGACAAATAAACAGCATGAACTTTGTGAACTACTTTAGTTTACTATCCTAAAGTTTTTTGCTTCAAAGTTATCACAGCATATTAAAAGCTGAAGTGCATCTAAATGCTTCTGATATAAAAGGATATTCTTATATTGATCTGCATCATTAAAGCATCACTAAAAGTTAATTCATTTCATTTTGTTCAAATGTTATTATCTACTTTATCAACTGTGTACTTTGAAAGCACTATAGAAATGGTTTCTAGTATAGGAATAATCTGCATATTTTTATCTACATAAGTTATCACATTATTTCTATAAACTTTATGACTCGTCTCAGATCTGAACCCAACACTTATTTCAATTGATGCAACCATACCTTTTTTTTGTTACTTTGCAAGTAACTAGTAAATAAAAAAGTAATTAAACTATATTTTACACACTCATAAACAATATCATTTAGGAAATCATTTACCCTGCCAGCGTCTGTGTCATCATTGTGCATCGTTTTTTGCAAACTTTCAATTACTGTGGATAAAATGATTTAAATACTTTTTTCTGCATACTGAACTAAACTTCACTTGTGTTACGACATCTGAGAGTTATTAACCCTTTAGCGCCCCGTGTAGCAGATCTGCTACATAACTTTAAAAACCTTTTACAGTTGTCCTGTCAACAAAGTGATCTTAAAAACACCCATTGTAGCATATTTACAACATAATTTTGTTGATCCGATTTTCCCAGGTTCATATAATTGGATGTTCAAGGCAAAAAACCACATCAAAATTGTATTTCTAAAAATCGATTAATCGCGGTCGAACTAATGTTATTTAAAGTAAGTTTTATCCTGTTTTTTATATATATTAAAGGTTTTTTGTTTATTTTCTTGTAAATTGATAACATATGTATGTTTTATGAGTATATAAATGAGTTTACTCTTTTTTAATCTAACACAAAATGCTTTCTGAACTTATATGTATCATATATGCTACAATGGGCTTTAAAGTATATATATATATATGTAAATATATATATACTTATATGTACGTATATATGTCTATATATCTATATATATATATATATATATATATATATATATATATATATATATATATATATATATATATATATATATATATATATATATATATATATATATATATACATATATATATATATACACATACATACATATATTACTTTTCTTTAGATGAATAAAAATAAAAAATTAAACATTGAAGATGCTCTTCAATGAAAAAAAATTAAGAATAATAAAAATAAAAAGAGTTTAAGAGTTTTGCCACTTTGGAAAAAAGTTCTACTTGATAATGACTTGATTGGTGATATTACTTTTCAAGAAGTACCTATTGAACCTATTCCAGATGAAACTACCACTCCATACGAATATTTTAAAATGTTTGTTGATGACAATCTTATCGACATTCTTGCTGAACAATCTAGTTTATATAGTTGCCAGTCATTAGGTACAAGCATTTGTGTCACATCCAATGAAATAGAATCGTTTATTGGTGTTTATTTCCGTATGGGTCTTGTGAAACTACCATCAGTGAGATCTTATTGGGAAACCTTTATGAATTATGATGGAGTAAGCTCAGTATTATCAAGGAATAGATTTCTTTCTATTCGTCGCTATTTACACTTTGTTGACAATTTAAAAGTAACAGATGAAGTAAAGAAAAATGATCGGGCCTGGAAATTAAGACCTTGGTTGGAAAAACTGAGAGAAAATTTCTTAAAAGTTTCTCCTGAAGAAAATCAATCAGTTGATGAGATAATGGTTGCCTTCAAAGGAAGGTCATTTTTGAAGCAATATGTCCCAAATAAACCCAATAAGTGGGGGTTTAAACTTTGGGGTAGATGTGGTGTCAGCGGGTATTTGTATTACTTTGATTTATATCAAGGAAAAGAAATAAAAAAGAAAGATGAATATTCTCCTCATGGTATTGGGGCATCTGTAGTAATCAAAATGACCTCAACTTTGCCAGAAAATCATAATTTTAAAATATTTGCTGATAATTATTTTTCTTCTTTGCCTTTGCTAGATGAACTGAAAAAGCGTCGAATATGGTATGTTGGAACAGCACGCCTTAAACGCCTTAACAAATGCTCATTGCCTTCAGAAAAAGAATTGAAAAAGCAAGGACGTGGATCATTTGACTATCGTACTTACACCATTTCTAATAACATAGCTGTTAGTTGGATAGATAACAAGGCAGTAAATTTAATTTCATCTTTTGCGAGTATTGAACCAATAAATACAGTGAGGCGTTATGACAGAAAAACCCGCAAATATATTATGGTAAAGCAACCTTACATAGTCCAGTTTTATAATAAAAATATGGATGGAGTTGACAAACTGGATATGATGTGCTCATTCTACAAACCAAATTTGAAATGCCATAGATGGTATGTATATATATGGGCACATACCCTTCTTATTGCGTTATCAAATAAATGGTTTTTGTATCGTCGGGACTTAAAAATTATTTGCCCCACTAAAAAATTCATGCCTCTAAAAAAGTTTCAAGCTGCAGTAGCTTCTAGCCTGATAGCTGTTGTAAAAAGTAAAGCTGGAAGACCATCACTTGATGCAATACCTCTACCAACCAAAAGACCTGCTGCTGTTCAGAGTAACCCTACAAAGGATATCCAGTTAGACGGATTTGATCACTTACCAACTTATAGTGACAAACGTCAGCGATGTAAGAAATGCAAAACCGGTTTTTCCTATATCTGTTGCAAGAAGTGCAATGTTTGGCTATGCTTAATTAAAGACAGAAATTGCTTTCATGACTACCATTAATGGCATTTAAGATTTGTTTTTATAACTTATATTTATATTATAAACGATTGTTTACTGTAAATGTATATTTATGCTGAAAATGTTTTTTATTTGTATAGAAGAGAGTTAGTCAGTTCAAAACATAAGTAAAAGTTTATTTTTCTGTTAAATTGCTTTAACTTGTTCTTTAAATTTAAAAATAATCTCTTTTTTTTAAAGAAAACTATATTTATAATTTAATTCCTCATATTCCCATTTTTGCAGATATGCTACAATTAAATAATTGACTTTGCAAGTGAGATTTTTGGCTTTTATTATTTTATTCATAATCTAGGTCCTAAAACAGTTGGTTTTTGAAGGTTTCGGAATTTTTAGAAAAATTTAGGCTTTGGTGGGCGCTAA